ACCTCCATCTCATGCATGGTGATGCACTACTGTAGGCTTGTAACATTTCACACACATAACACATACAGGCCAGACCAATGGTTTAAAATTCACAGTTCAAAGATTTAAAAAAAAAAAATATTTCACTTATAAAAAGAAGGAAGAATGAACAATCAAGTTTTATTTTCTTTATTTTCCTTTAAAACAATATAGTTACTAATATACTTTTTACATGTTTTGAATAAATGCTTAATAAAATTCTATACATTTTTAAAATAAAGCATTGCCTTACATTTTACAGATCTTCGAAGCACCAACCACACACACAACACCACACACACCACACACTTTGACAGTCTCTGAATAAAAAAAAGCATCATTGCGTCACACATGCGCCCACTACTACCAGAGAAGCCATGTGTGTTCGTCATTTTTTAATAATCTGATCGTACAGGAGTGTTGGAAGTCTCTTTATCTATGGTGAGGCTGAATGACATCCGACTGTTCTGGGGACACCAGCAGAAATATCTAGTCAGCAAATTGCCCAGTGACTTCCTAAACTTCTCCCCTATAAATGCATAGATGACAGGATTTACACAGCAGTGAGACAGTGCGATGATCTCAGCAAAGCCCATGGCAGAACTGATGGTTGCTGAAGCTTCACAGGTGTCCAGGAATCCAAACAGCTGCAGGGTCTGGAGGAAAACGGTGACATTGTAGGGGACCCAGCACACCACAAACACACACACTATGGTGAATATCAGCTTTACAGCTCTGTCCTTCTTGGAGTTCCTGGACTTGGACAGCACAACAAGGATTTTCACATAGCAGAAAAACATGATTGGGAGGCACACAAAAAGGCCCACTGTGTTCTCACTGAAGTTTCGCAGCATCTTCCAAAACTGTTGCCTTTCCTCTGGGTACAGTGGCTGGCACTGGTATCTGTTGTCATCTGCATTTATCTCCAAGGAGGCAAATATCACCTGAGGGATTGCCATGATGACAGATGCAACCCAGGTAGTGATGCCGGCTGTGATTCCATAGCGAAGTGTCCGCGCTCTCATGGCTGCAACAGCGTGAACGATGGCCAGGTAGCGGTCCACACTCATTAGGGTCACAAACAAAGTCCCGCTGTAGAAACCTAGCTGTTCAGAGGAGCAGATGGGGAAGCAAAGTCAGAACAGGATGTGACATTAGGTGACGTTTGTCAGGCTTTACAGGCCTCAGTGAGGTTCTTCACACAGCCGACATTACACAGCAGCAGTTTCACACATCAGCTGACAGCACCAGATCTCACCTTTGTTACTGGCAGAATATCTTCCCCCTTATGAAAAAAAACTACACAGAACTTGTGTTTAAATAGAGAACTATGTGAATATGTGATTTTGCACTTTGCAAGAAATACATACTGCTAAAGAAAAGAAAGAGAACTACTCATACATTTGACATTTTTAGAAGCATTGTATTTTTAGGGTGTGAATGCAGTAGCCCAATCATGGCTTTTCACACCTTAAAGTAAAAGTAATCGTGTAAATGGTGGAGGACGTCTCTTTTAATAGCTTATTAGTAATTTGCAACAATTAATTCTGCTTTCTAAATAATACTTATGTATGAGTTTTAAATATGAAATAATGAGTTATTTGTCATTGTTTTGTGTTCTAAATAATAAAAATAAAAATAAAGACCCACCTGATAGACTCCTGTAATAAGCTTGCATGATGCAAAGTTCTGGGAATTGTAGGCCCAGAGGGGCAGGGACACAGCCAGTATGAGGTCAGACACAGCCAGGTTGAGGAGGCATATGTCTGTCATAGTCTTCAGCTTTATGTACCGGAGGAGAACCCAGAGAACTGTGGTGTTGCCTATGAAATCAATTCCAATTATTAGTCATTTCACTCTTTGTGAAGAGTGATACATATTTCTTTTTCTCTTTAAGATGTGGGCCTTTTTTAACACACCTAGCAGACCTAGACAAGACAGCACGTAGTATATAACCGGCAGGACCATTGGTCCATCGGACAAATCTGGACCGGGTTCCTGAGTGCAGCTGTTATAATATTCATCGTCATAACCCCCGTAGTATGAGTAGACTTCTGACGTATTCATCATGCTGCGAGAGAAAGAACAGAACACGGAGGGATTACATTTGGTTGATATTAGAAGATGAGAGACATTAAATCAGACATTGTACAAAACCACAAAAAGTACAAAATATCTAGACTGACACAATAAAGTCAAAAAACATTGTTGTCCATGTGGGGCATGAGTTCCACTAACCTAACAAAAATGAAAACAAAAATTACATTTGAGGTACACGTAAACTTCATGTAAGGCGATAAGCAGTGGTTGTACGGCTCTGTACTAAAATAATCACCCAATCCCTTAGACTTGCTGCAACATTCTCTCCAGTTTTAACCTACCACAACTCTGAGCTGTTCAGGGAGAGCTGTGATTTATCTTAAAGTGTTCTTCCCACACTTTCAATCCATCAACAAATGACATAGTGAAAACAACACAAAACAATAGAATCATCAAGCAGTCTTAAACTCCATTTACCATAATACCATGTTATACTCGCTGGAAAGTTAATTTTGTTATTTACATCCTTTAGGGCCTTGTATACCATGTTTGGCAGAATAATATGAATGTCTGACAATCCCAGCTGTGAGTCAATTCTTGATCTTTATACATTTTTCACATAAGATTGACTTTAATGGCTTTAATGTGAAGCCAGATTGGCTGAATTATTCAAATAAGAAAATGAATGTTCTGCTACTTACCCTTTCAACGATGAGATGTTCTAACTCCTGATTCTATTTTCTTCTAAAATCTCTTCCCTTCATTTGCTCTGAAGTGTAAAAACTTGCCTCGAGTCACACCTTCAAGAAACAGAGCAAGAAGATTAAGTTTTTCACCTTATTATTATAGGCACAATGTTCCACAACATCATGATGTGTGAACTCTGTGTTCCACAATTGACATTTTGTTGAGAGAAAAAGCACTAATATGATCAACATTCACATGTAGATGTGAGGAAATCCAGAGACAGTACTGGACTTTCCCACCCTTTAAGCTGAACCTTTCAAATATAATCATCATTTAGTGAGTCACGTCTGAAAGGCTTCTGAATAAAATCCTTTGAGTCCAACAGATGCCATTTCAGACCTAAAAGCAGTTCTCCAAATCTGAATGAATTCCACAGCAATTATTTAAAAAATTCTCCATTTGAATATACTGTAATGTCAGAGGTACAAGCATAATTTTCAACAACCATCACCAGTTTAGATATATCATGAGTCTATGAATATTGCCAACTTCCTGCTATTCTGACCATAATCAAATTTATGTCATCTCTTTTAAACCACATCTCAAACCTTTTTTTTCTCACTATCAAGATATATAGAACCACCTCTTTGACACCCATGCAGACCCTTACTTCCTGTGGCTGACATAGTTTACACACACACACACGTGCGCACCTATTCCTCAGCTACCCACTGTGTTTATAGGTGTAGGAGGTGAGAAAGATGAGGTATGTCTAGTAAATAGCAGCTAAAAATTAAAAATTTGAAATAATAATAATGCGCTTACCACATTGCCTGGCAAAATCACTGCTCCTGAATTTGAATGTTCTCGTGCTGCGCATCGAGCTTACATGTCATCCTGTCTTGCATTGCTCGCTTTTTGTGTCAAATCCTGCTGCAGTGCTCATTTCTGGTAAGGTGAACTCTGGGTTTTGTTGTTTCCTCCGCATTGTGTTAAATGGAGGTGTGAGTGTGGTTTTCTGAGAAATGTCCCTTTAGGTGTTAACATGTGGCAAGAAAGGAGCTGTGGGGAAAATGTATTCTAATGAGGAGCGTTTTTCTTTTTTGTCTTCATGTCACCAAAGCACACTACTTTGGTGACATGAACTTCTGAAAGTAGCATTCAGCTCATCCGGAATCACAGAGGTTTTTATTTTACATTTTTGTTAAAACTTTTGAATATTTGAGCATACTTTTAATTCAAAATAAAAATGTAATCTTTAAATGTAATATTATTTATGATCTGTACATAAAAAACTGTACTATATACTTTAAATTTATACTGTAGTTTCTCCTAATAATAGAACTAGCTGCCTTTTTCATTGTGCTAATGCAGCGCTAAAAAATAATTGCCTACCTAATTATGTGATTAGTGATACTCTTAGACGTATATCAGTATAAATGAGCACAAGGTGTGTTGTGCGGTGGATTTGGCATCCTAAGAAAAGTACGATATAACCATTATCATCAAGGGCGTTTGAGAGGATAGAGCGGTCATCCACTTATCAGAAGGTCAGTGGTTCAATCCCCGGCTCTTCAAGTCTGCATGTTGAAGTATCCTTGGGCAAGACCCTGAACCCCAAATACCTCCCACTGGTAATGTGTGTGAATGGGGTGAATGTGATGTTCTGTAAAAGTGGTTGGAAAGGCTAGAAAGGCACTATACAAGTACAGACCATTTACCATTGTTTGGTACTCTGTGACACTTTAATAATCTCAAACAACAAATCATTACATGTTACAAAAAAGCAGCAATAGAGTGTTAAGCATTAAGCTGAAATATGTTAATACAATAATAATATATATATATATATATATTGCAAATAACATCTGAGAAAAAACAATGTTCTCACTATGAAATGCAATATACTGAACATATATGATGGTGGTAACAGAATTGTGGATAAGATGGTGTGGGAGACTGAGGTTCGATTCCCACCACCAATGTGTCCCTGGGCAAGACACTTAACCCCTAGTTGCTCCAGAAGTGTGTGAGCTCTGACATATATAGTAATCGTAAGTCGCTTCAGATAAAAGATAAATGAATGTAATGCAATAATGTAATCTGAACAATGATAGTTGTGTATTATAAGCTAAAATGTGTTCCAGATGCCATGATGAATGATAACGTCAAATTGTGTAAAAGATGCCACATAACTGCTGGTTGGTTGTACCTTTTGTAGCTTTGATTCATTGCCAAACATTTGAATGAACAGACCTTTTCCACAATCAAAGCAATAAAAACAATTCCATGTTATAAAATAGCATTTTGTCTCTTTAAAAAAAGGTAGCTTTTCCATATGGTATGAATGCTATTTTCACCAACTTGCAAGCTCATCAACCAATGTGTGAAAAAGGAAAAAAGTTTTAAACTTTGTGTGTTTAAACACATTAGGCACAGACAAACAAACTCTGTGGTTACCAGCTGTTGGAAACAAGTCATGCTTTCAGTCAAAATGTACGACTTGAAGTGTGACTATATTTTCTCCAATGTCAGCAGGAAAAAGGAGGGGCATTATAACATACAGAAGATGATGCTTATCAGGTCACACTTGAATTGTGGTCAGAACAAAACACTGTATTCCAGCAGAAATTCAAGGAACAAATGAAATCAAAAACGTCTACAGATAATGACATGTACAGGTACAGGACATTGCTGATGAATAACACTTTCTGGTAACTGCAAGTGACAAGTAAATATACAATGGCTGGCAGTAACAACAAGGCTACCAGGATAAAAACATGCCAGGCTCTGCAGGTGATGTCCATAAAAACACATTACTCTGACTTCCACCTCCTACTTGATGAAAGTGGAGGTGACCTCCGAGGACCTAGACATGACTGAGCTCTTCCTGAATGAGCTGTCTGACAAATCTTTGAAGTGACTCCCGGGCACCAATTTGCTCAGCAGGTGCACAGCTCGTTTCATAAACTTCTGCCCCACAAAGGCGTATATGATGGGGTTCAGGCAGCAGTGAGTGTAGGCAAAGGCCTCAGTCACTGTTACTGACACCATTAACTGCCCTTCCTTTTTGCAATCAAGCAACAATTTACCTTTAGATTTCAGAAACCTCAAGAAAAGGCAAATGTTATATGGGGCCCAGAACAAGAAAAAGACAACCACTATGGTCAAGATCAGCTTGACAACGCGGTGCTTCTTTGCAGTCCTCATGTTCACCAGGGTGGGGATGATCCTGGAGTAGCAAACTACCATCACCAACAAGGGAATCACGAGACCCAGCATGTTTGTTGCGAAGAGGTTGTAAGTCTCCCAGCCATCGTTATCCGGGAGGTAGGCACAACTCACCACGCCGGACTCGTTTGTTACCTTTGTGAAGATGAAAGCCGGTAGGGAAACACTCAAACTGAGCATCCAGACGAACACGGTCAGAGCGATGCCTTTCCTCAAGGTGCGATATCGTGCCACGGTGTGCGCGTGCATGATGACGACATAGCGATCCAGCGTCATGGCAACCATGAAGAAGATGCTGCTGAAGAACCCGATGTTGTGCAAACCGGCGATGGAGCTGCACATGAAGCCTCCGAAAGTCCATTCGCTGACCACGGAGTAGTGAGAGTAGAAAGGCAGCGTGAGGACGAAGAAGAGGTCGGAGAGTGCCAGGTTGAAAAGGCAGATGTCTGTCAAGTTGGTTTGGTTTCTGTGCTTCACTAGGACACACACCACTAGGCCGTTACCTGGAGAGAAGGGGGCGAACGTTACATCTAAGAGATTACTGTGCATGTATTTCAGCTTTGTGACGTAGGCTATGGTCTCTCTCTCTCTCTCTCTCTCTCTCTCTCTCTCTCTCTCTCTCTCTCACACACACACACACACACATACGTACCTATGAAGCCGAAGATGAAAACCAAACTATAGAGAGTGGGCAGAAACACCCTGCCAAAATTTCCCACATGGTCGTAGCTGCAAGGAATAAACTCTCCCACAGCCCCGTCATTATAAAATGAATAATCATACACGGTGGTGTCGGTGGTATTTGCTTCATCACCTGCAGACAGACAATTATTTTTAAATTTCAACATTTACAACATACTTACTTTATTTTCATTGTACATTCAGACACAATAAAACACATTAAAACGGCCAGGTAGCCTGCCGGTAAACAAATGCTGCTAGTTGAGGTGAATGGAATTTAAATAAGGTTTTATCATCTCAACCGTTTTCATAGGAGCTACTTTTTCTACTACTGTGGCCCCTGTTCATGGAAAGACATGGCACATAATACAATACAATGTACATAATGTGTCTGCAAATAAAAAAACCCAACACTATCTTCCAGGGTTTGTAACAATCATCATTTGAGTTTTGGAAGTGAATAACCCCCCTTAAAGTCAATTGATAACGGAGGTTATTACGCCACTTGCTGGTATTTACAGGTAACGTTATGCTAATTTGCTCCCTGTCATGCCTACACATTAACGACCAGACAAAATACTGCAAGCATGTAAGATTCTTTTAGATTTCTAAGTGTTTGAAGTGGCAATTACTTTCGATTTGAATTCCTTTGAACTGTTGTTATTTGGTCTACCTTAGCAGATATGTATTTGGAGGCTGTGCATTTGATGAATACAAAAAAGTAGGCTACAGTTTGATAACCAGTCATTTCTATTTATTAATTTTCACACTTTCGTTGTTTAATAAAGACCCAAATAGAAACCCAAAGAATATATGAAGTAGCCTATATTGCATTCCAGCATTTAGATTTAAATTGAAAACGGACGGGCCTATAACTGCAATATATGTGGTCTCAAGGATCACAATATATCACACACAAATATTTCTTCAACAGATCATCATTATTAAAATGTATTCACCTGACATGGCGATATCTCAGTGATGCCTTCTCCTCAGGTGTAGTCAGTAGCTGCAGGTTAGGGCTCCTTAGTTCTCCGTCCGGATATTTATGGATGTGGTGTCCTCAAATGTATAGCGAGGATCTAACGCTTAAACTCAGCAGTCCCCAATTAATGACTTGTACAGAAAGAGAGGCACAGATGTTGTTTCCTGTACTTCTGTAAGTGTGAAGAGATCCTTATCAGGGGCCCGACGCTCACAGACTCTTGAAATGCTATAAAAAGGTTGTCAAAATAAATGACAGGCATATCAAAACAAAGCATGAAGTCATGTGGTTATCTTAAAGGCTCAACTTGCCTTTCTGCTGAAACGCTCAATTAATCGTGTTTTTCAAAAATGCGGTGCAAAGTTCACGCTTTTTGGATTTTAATGGTCAGGATCATATCTAATAAAAGCCTCTAGGCCTTTATATAGAGATATAGGCCTATTTTACATAGCCTATATTTGTAATATTAGTTTAATGTGCGAATTCAATATTGGAGGTCGGTGGATTTTATGAGGAGGGCTTTTGTGACATTTCTTACTGAGGGGTCGGGTCATCCCTCGTCAGGAAGCCACATTTCCATTTTCGAGGTATGTAGGCTATAAATGAATATAAAATATAAAGAAAAAGAAAAAAATATATAAAAGAGAATAGATATGTACAATATTCACATTATTAACAGAATTGTGATGAACAGTAAATAAATAGAGGCAAAATTGATGCAGAGAATATTGCATGTTGATTAAAACAGAGAATATTGCACAGAAGAAGAAGACACTTTTATTGTCACATACACATACATGTTGCTGTTGTTACATGAGTGTGAAGTATTATTAAGTGTCCATGTGTCAGACACTTTGAGGGAGGCCACACGCAGGAATGACTTCCTGTGGCGCTCTGTGTTGCATTTTGGGGGGATGAGTCTTGCACTGAGAGTGCTCCTATGTCTGACCAGCACATCATGTAGTGGGTGGAGGACATTGTCCAAGATGAAATGTAGCTTGGACAGAATCTTACTCTCTGACACCACCGACAGAGAGTCCAGCTCCACACCCACAACGTCACCTTCCTCATAAAATAGAGACGGCTTGAGTGTTCTTGGCCTAGTCCAGTTTATTGTCAATCTGCACTCCCAGTGTATTTGTATTACTCCACAACATCCACACTGACCTCCCGAATGGAAACCGGGTCACTGGTGCCTTGGCTCTCCTTTGATCCACAACCAGTTCCTTAATTTTAGTCATATTGAACTGCAGATGGTTTTACTCACACCATGTGACAAAGTCACCCAAATTTACCCTGGTATCTGGCAATCTCCCCTCCAGAAACTGTGTGTCAAACCAGTGACTATTTTCTTGCATTGTAGAGACTTTATGGAGTATAGTATGTAGTAAGTAAATGCAAGAGCATAGCCTGTATCTCTGCCTTCAATAAAGGATGAGATATCTAGGAGGGAGTCTGGGGTTTCTCTACCAGAAAATTGTGAACATTAAACTCTTTTCTGCACCAATTTATGGTTGACAAGTTTTTTATTTAGGCTATGCATAGGGAAACACAAAACTTAGGTGGCAGGGTTTCAGAAAGCAGGACAAAGCGTCGGTATTTTGTGGTATATAACATATGTGCATTTGACCATTACAGTTTAACATAATGCTCTGTAGCTGGGGACAGTGAACCCTTATGGGGACAGTGAACCCTTAAGGGGAAGTAATGATTGATGGGTGTGCAAAGAGTGAACCCTTCTATGGAATTTGACCTCTGACCCAGTGGTAGGGGGAGTAGAGGTTAGTGTGTATGAAGGGACTGTGCCCTTATATGGTATTTAGCAGAGACCTAAACATGTCCTATATAAGCTGTGTTCGATGTACAGAGAGACAGAGTGGTTATCGGGCTGGGTCACTCTCCAAGCTGCTGCAGAGCTTGTAATTGATGCTGAATTCTTTGATGTAATAAACTTTTATAATCAAGAACAGTGTCAAGCGGATTTCTTCTCAACACATCATCGCAGCATTATCGTTCGGACACCACAATTTCAAGCAAAAGGCACACGTCCGTATGAAACGCCAGAGCTTGGTATTGCGCAGCAACACAAAGGCTTACTCCGGTGTCAAGTCAGGTGGGTGGACTTGATTCGTGAAAAGTGCCAATTGCGTGAGTCTCAGAGCCGACACGTGACAGTTGGCAGCGACGCGTGACAGCTTATATTAGTTAGGGCTAGACGATTAATCGTTTTCAACTTGTCCTGGAACAGAGCTGGAATAATGTTGCTGAAGGCAGAGTCCACAAGGTACCTGGTTCCTGGAGAGTCCAGGTACTGGCGGTTGTAGTGAAGGGCCAGGTTCTCTGAGTTGTCTGCATTACATCGTTACATCATCTCAATCAGCTGTGTGCTGAGGCTACATTCTAAGGTCGCCTTGGTGATGCTAAAAGCTGTCTGACTAACAGGCTAGACAGCTGCTCTCATTGAGTTCTAACCTGAAGCACAGCTCTGCTTCTCCTGGTCCTACCGAACAGACCGTAACTCAAAATAAACACACTATTAGAGAGATAAGATCCTCATGAAGATGATGTCCAAGATTTGTGTGTCTACTGTCAAAAATGTGTTCACAGCAGCAGTATAGAAATGTCCATCTCTTTCCTGAAACTTCAGGTCTGATTTACTATGGGAGTCTATGCGGCAGTTGAGTCGGACTGCTCTGACTTTAGAGCGGACTGTTCCAGCTCTGTAAGTTCGATTGCTTTCAAAGTTACACATCAGCAGCAGAACAAGTTTTCCTACAACTTGTGAAAAATTATGTATATAGAGTGAAAGCTGTGGGAGATACAGCGAGTTGAAGACAAGTTTTTAAGAAGATTTTGAAGTGAATTGCCACTGTGTCAATTGGTCTTCTCACTCTAAAGATGTTCACACTGAAAGCGAATCCAGTTTCGGACAAATAAACACCCGTAGTCGGTCTGGATCATGCTCTGACAACTACGCCGTTTACCCGCAGGAGGAGCTCAAAGTTAACTGCTTTTATTAAATTAGCTTTTTACTTTAGTTTTTGGAATTACAACTTGATTTATCTTCACTCGTGCTTCTCGGCAGCGAGATTCCGTGCACATCCGGTTCCGCTGTTGTTGTTAGTGTCGGATGGCACCAGAGTTCTGCTGGACTACTACTTCATATTTAAATAAAAACCGGACAAAGCTGGACATTACTTGGAGAAAAGAAAGCAAGGAAGTTGAACTACCTGGTGAGTTCAGAAAATGTGTGTCTGTAATTTTATTCCAGCATTTTAAAAGTAGTTGTCCTGCTGACTTGCTAACAGACCTGACAAAGCATGAATTCATATGTGTTACAAAACGGCATCATAGTGTAGTTATTTTGGCATCAGTTTGATCCGTTTATTGCAATTAAATCACAGCAAAGGGTTTATTTTGGGTTCATATACCTGTAGTATCCACGGGCTGTGTGTATTCGCTTAAAACACATTGTGTGTGGACACTCAAAATCTTCAGCAGTCAAACTCGTGCGAGTAAACGAGGTGAATATTAAATTCGCTTTCAGTGTGAACACACCTTAACTCCCAACATTCCGTCACATTCCGACACAAAACTTTGAAACCTTGCTTTACAGCATTCACCCCAACTAACGTTAATGTTACAGCAAAATGTGGGCACCAGCCAAACTGACACGGGCAGCGGCTGTGTTGTGGTTTTGTCCAGTGTCAACTCACACTTGTGCTTCAGCAGCGGAGCGTTTAGCCTGCCCTACGTTGTTGACGTGTTGTTAATTTGTCATTTGGTGTGCTTCCACTACAGATAACAGGGGTTACGTACTGTAACCCGGATTCTATGAGTATAGGCGCAGCCCTCTATGGCTATCACTATTGGGTTTACCCCTTCCGCGCACCTGCGTGGCACTGAGAATTTTAGTCTACACCCACGAACACAGCGTGGGCCTCTCCTATGTCTGCACCTTGTATATATACAATGGTGAGACCCAGCCTTCGGCTCCCAAGTGCCTTTTCTTCAGCACTGAGAACCAAGGTCCAGTGAGGCCCACAACTTAGAGGGCTGCGCCTATACTCATAGAATCCGGGTTACAGTACGTAACCCCTGTTCTATTTCGTACAGGCTTCGCCCTCTAAGGCTATCGCTATTGGGTTAGAGGCGAAGCAGGATGAGTCAACGCCTCACTGGCCCATACGGTACCACCAAGCACAACCCACCTGCCCAGAGCCATAATGAACCACCCAGTCACCCGCTGACCGCGGCAGTGGTGTTGGCATGCGCACAGGCACCGATGGCGCGGCATGGGAGGCCGAGGGCCGCTCCATGCGTAAGAAGGGAAACTGAGCGGGGACCCCCCCAGCTGTACAGACGCAGGCAGGGTCATGACAGCAACCACGTCAGCTGCGCCCAAGGCAGGGCCACGCAAGCAGCGGCCACCCCCCCCCCCCCCCCCACAGGGGAAGTCCCTTGGGCCGCTACCTGTAGTGCACAAACAGACGCTGCGAACGGTGCCAGACGGCCGTGCGCGCCACATAGCAGGACAGTGCTCGCATCGGGCAGGGCAGGTGGGACGTGGCATCCTCCGCCGACCCATGGGGGGGAGGGATAAAGCCCGAGAGGGTGATGACCCGCGACCGAAAGGAGCTCGTAATGCTTTTAGGCATGAACGCCGGGTTAGGGCACAGGATAGCCGAGCTGCCATCGGCCTGAATTCTGAGGCATGACGGAGCCACAGAGAGGGCAGACAGGTCGCTGACCCTCTTGGCTGTTTTCAGAGCCATGAGCAAGGCGACCTTAGCCGAAAGGAACCTCAGGTCCACAGTCTCCAAGGGCTCAAAAGAGGCTTGGGTTAGCACGCGTAAAACCAGTGGCAAATCCCACTGTGGGGCCGCAGGCCGCGTCACCGGCCGGTGCCTTCACACCTCCCTAAGGAAGCACTTCACCAAAGGGTGGGAGAATGAGAGAATGGGAGATGAAAATTGCAGCCCAGAAGGCGCGGGATCAGCCGCACCGGCAGGGGAAGGCATACAGCAGCCCGGGGGGCCAAAGGGGGTGAGCGAAGGTGTCCACTCCCAGCAGGGGAACCTCCCGCGGGCTCAGTGAAAACCAAACGGCACACTGAGCGTTCTCTTTGTTGGCAAACAGATCCACCTCTGCTCTGCCGAACGAGG